AAAAAAAAAAAGAAAAAGAAAGAAAGAAAGAAAGAAAGAAAAAAGATGAGAAAGAGAGAAAAAAATGAAACGTCCAATTCCAATTTTCCCCTTTAGCCGGGGACGGGGATTTCGGGAATCCGCTTACCAACATCCGGTGGTCCTTTTTGTTTTGCGAAATTCAACCGCCGTTACCGACAATCGTAAAACTTCCGCCAGACGAGAAGGATACTTGGCCGAATTCCATCCGCCGAGTCAAACGCCGGATTAAGGCCAACCCTGATAAATTCCCTGCGTGGAAATCGACGTCGCAATCGATATTAACCGCGCGCGCGTTTATCGCCGCTATGTTTAACTCTCCGGCCATTGTTAATTGCATCTGAACTTTTCCAATTTGGAATTTGGATCCTGGCTAAATATCGCTTCGCTACTCCGCGATATTTCACTTCGCGTACGTGAAATACGTGGAATTTCTGCTCGTCCGAGACAATTTTAATTGGCTCATTACAGCACGCGGCTAATTATTGCTAGGCTGATCTTCTTCTTTTTCCTCGATGGATTTTTCCGCTCTCACGAAACAGACACATTTTATTTATCAATTTGTAATGAATTGATAAATAATACTAATGTTAGTTTGATTCGAAGTGGCTCTCTTGTGAAGCAGAGGATTTTAATTAGGAGCGCTTGTTCATAAATATTAAAGTAATTTTTGCAAATCGTCGAACAAATGATTGGAACCTTCCTTTCAATTTCCTTTCTCCTTCTACTTTTATCTCCCTCCTCTGAATTTTTTGTTTCTTTCCTCCTCTTCTACTTCTTTCTCTCTGTTCTCTTTTCTCTTCCCTTCCATTCTCTCATTACAAATTAATTTCTCCCTTTTGAAACACTTCAACTTTCCCACTTTTAAGAAGTTTCCCAATTTTGAAAAGAACGACCGTCCAATGTAAAATTGGAACGAGGAAGTTCGTATATTGATAGCTATTTTTCTTATGTTTATTTGAACAGTATTTGAAGTTGAAGAAGATGACGGAAATTGAAGAAGATGGTGGAACATGTTTAAATTAAAATAATGATCGTAACGGGATTAGTATTTGAACACTGGGAATGCTGTTTTGTAGCAGTCGTTTTGTTTGAAGAAAATAGATAAAACTATTTTTTAGACAAAACTAAAAAATATAAGATGAATTTATCATCTTTTGTCTGGTTAAATTAAATTAAATTTCTATATTAAATAATGTAATAATTCAGTTTCTGAGGACAAGATCATCATCATAGAAAAACAAATTCCAAAACGAACAGAGGTGATTTTGACTATTTTGACTATGATTTGATGTTATGACCGATCTTTATTATCGCGAAAACGAGATCGTTAAGCGTGCTTTTTGACATCGTACATATCGAGTGATTCAATAAATAAATGATTCTACGTAGTTTAGAGCAAAGTTCTCGTGGATACATCATTCTTAATCTAATCACAATTCATAAAATCTTGGTTGTCTAGCAGTTCAATAAAATTTCAAGCTAGTATGGCTACAAATATCGAGCGTTGATCCTGAATGAAACTTACTATCGGTATCGTTATTAGAAAAAGCAAACTTGAAGGCTCGTGCAAGATAGAATTTAGTAGGACGTAACTAGATTGTTAGCGGAACTTTCACGAGCAAATTTATTGTACTTTCCTCTTTTTTAATTTCGAAAGAACTTTCAGAAAATCTTTTAAAACTGAAATTAATCGGGAAACTTGCTAAAAACTAAAATTTTAATTACCCCTTAAGACTGAAATAACATAATCCGAAAGTTAAACATTCTTGAAAAAAAGTCTGTAATTTGTGTATCTAAGAATTTGTGGCTTTTGTGAATGTAAACTTTTATGTATTCGTATGGTTTCTTTTGAAATTCCAAGAAAAAAAGGAAATGAAACCTCCTCTGGCTTTAATAATAAATTGTCAGGACTATTAATTAATTGATAGACTAGAAAGACAATTCCGTGTAACGCGTTAAATTAAATAACAGATGGAAGATCTTGTCGCCTAGGTCGCTGCATTTACAAGGAATTCAGAATCGTTGTATAACTTGACTGATACGGAAACACTTGAGCGTTGTTGACTCGAAATGTCGAGGATTTGCGAAACGTGACCTGCAGTTCGATGAGAAGATTACTCGTTCTAGTCAGTGGAGTCTGGAAAGAGCAGAACTGAATTTTCGATCGAGACTCCGTGTGCCCTTTAAAAATACCAACGTCACTAATTTCTCGAGTCATCCGTTTCAATAAACTAGAAAGGGAACAATCTTTCACAGTCGTGGTCATTTCCACGTTTGATAAAGCGTTTTATAACTTGCATATATTTGTAACAGAAGGAACGATTGTCGATCGCCCTTTTTTTCTTTTTTTTTTTTTTTCTTTCTCTAAACGAGTTTCCTCTCCAGACGTTCGAAAGACATTCCATTCGAAGGTGGGATGAGTCGAGCACTTATAAATCAGTTCAGAGGTCGCTGTATACGTGTTTAAGAGCTTTCTATCGCGCGAAAAGGACGGCACTTGGAGTCGCGTATTTCGAATCGTAGGAAATGCTTGGCTCACTCGAGAAGGCTTTAATACTTGTGGTTTATGGGCCGGTGGACGTCGAACGCGAACTTCGAAATTACGACGTTTCGAAATGTGCCTGTCGTGGTCCTTCGTGTCTCGATTATTAAGTTCACGTCTCGATAATAAAAATGAGAGGGGAACGTGCAATTTCGCGCAGGCGAAGCTCGGAATTCGAAGAAGTTTTTAGTCTGCAACAGTAACATCTTCGGGATAGAATAAAATTTTTGAGAGATGCAGCTTCCTCGACTCGATTTACGAGTGGTTTATTTGAATTTGTGCATTCTTGCACGACCGAAGCTCGCGCTTTAGAAGATTTGCAGCCTTTACACCCGTCCACGGGATAAAATAAAATCTTGAAAAATGCAGCTGTTTCGACAATTTTTCAGTCGTTTATTTAAATCTGTGCAACTTCGCACAACGCGAAGCTCCCCTTGGGAAATTTTTAATCTTTACGAATGTCCACAGGGCGAAGTAATATTTTGAAAATTGTATCTTCTTTCATCCTTACGAGTCTTCCATTTGAACATGTTCAGTTTTTTGATTCACGATCGCGCTGAAGCTTATGGAATATTTTCATACAACGGTGCATAGAATAAACAGTAAAAGTCTGTAAAGCCTACGAGAGTGAGTTATTTCACAAGGACGATCGTATCCTTCTGGAAGCATGAATATCTCGAAGCTTTTGCACACTGTTCGAGAAAATGTACGGTACACGCTGGAGCTTAATATTTCTGATTTGTTGTCGATACTCTCGAAATATTTTATTTGCGTATTATTATATTCAAAATGTGTGATCCTCCTAGCTAATTCAAGTAATTCCTCTAATTCTAACGAAGGAGATATATTAATAAATTAGTCTCATCTATATTTACATATATTTTCCAAAAATACATAAACACGTTCACTCTATCGGCAATGTGCAACGAGTTTGTTGACGGCTTTTTAGAAGTTTACAATGGAATTAGAAAATGTCGAGGCTTGAGCGTCAGGGATAACGCTGGCACGTCACAGGGCAAAGATCACCGTTACTCATCGAAATTTAAAAACCGCTTTATCATACACGGTGGCGAGGCGAGGTTCCATCGGTACGGAAGAGAATGCACTTTCTCGCGACTTGTTCGGATTATCCGATTCGGAGGATCGATCGTAACCGGCGAGCAAACAGGAGATCGGAAGACAGGCGGTGCAGGTGACTCGATAAAAGGAATCGCGCGGAAAGGGTACAAAGAACGGAGAGCGAAAGAAAGGAATAGCATCTCGACTGCTCCGAGGTGGCGAGAGTAGACGAAGACGTATCGATTATCTCGCTCGACTTTGCGCAAACGAGACCGCAGCGACGCGAAAGTACGATCGAAGATAAAGCCACCTTCCACCCTCCGCGAGTGGAAGGCTGCTGGAGAAAGAGAAGGACGAAGTAGAAGAGAGTAGAAGAGGGGTGGTTTCTTCCCGGCGGATCGTTCCTCCTACTCTTCCGAGGATAAAACTCAGGGGACGACTTAATCATCGATGGGCAAGGCTTTTTTTCTCTCGATCCGAGAGAAGAACTTCTGCACCGGCTAACGATCGTGAATCCTTTGGAAAAAAAAGAAAAGGAAGAAAGAAAGACCGATTGTTCGTTGCTCGAAGAACTGTAGGCTGATTTTCGTAGGCTAATCTGCGAACTTGGCAAACGTGTAAACGTCGATTTTTCCCCGACGGTAGAATTCTATCGGATCGATCATTTTCGTTGGTTTGTGAATATTTATCTACTAAGCAATAATAAGGATTTCTAACTGTCCCATATTTAGAGTTGCGTATTACATATATGCATCCTACGCGTTGCATATTT